GGGTTTCCCTGTTCACCACAGTTCCTACTTTCACCACTGGCTGTGGCCAAACATGAATTTATATTTTACTGCTTTATCTTGGACCATGGTGGGGTAGTTACTGTATTTTTCGCAATATAATTCACACTTTCTTTCATCCTTTGGCTGGGTTTGCGACTTATACTCAGGTGCGACATATATATTAAAATTTTCACGTTTGTTATTTTCACACTGACAGCCGCTAGAGGGCACTCTAGGCTTGTGTATCAGTATCTGCTACTCCTGTACCACTGAAAATGTACATGTTCGTTATTTTCACACTGTCAGCCACTAGGGGGCACTCTGGGCTTGTGTGTTGATGGAGTAACTAAAATTAAGCACAGAATAGCTACATTAGCTCGGAAAGCTACTACTTGCAATGTCAGACATTATAAAAGTTGTGATACTCGAAAAACATTAACGTTAGCCAAATTAAAGCTAAGGCAGTCAAACCAAATTGCTGAAAGTTTGACTTTGAGAGTTTGACTGCAACTCTATTTCAACTTCAGATTAAATTGCCCAGATAATTGTTAAAATATCCCAAGCATATATTTTACTAAAGCAAATGTGTGTTAAAAAAAAAAAAAATTGCAGCCAGTTCTGCAAACAATCATGGCCTCATGTAAGAACCCGAGTCCCTGTAGAATACACAGCCACAAAACTACTCCACTGTCCTTCAGGGATGTAATATCTGGAGCCTACGCTTTTAATTTCAGATAGCAAGTAAGCATATCCTGTTACAAGCCATTACAGGGGTTTAATGCCAGCCGACTGTGTTTGTTATGCTCTCATTTTCTACCCTCACTGCTCAGGAATTAGTCGTGTTTGAGATGAGATGAAAAGATTTCTGCTATTTGGGTTACGCTTCTTGTCTTGCAAAATTTATTCATGTAATTAGAAACCGTGCAGTTGAAAATAACTTGAGTGCTCATTTCTCCCGCGTTAAGCCTGATGCGGAGGTGAAAGACAAAAAAGTTGGAGACACAGAGTGGATCTAACTAATTGCCTCTCCCCGTGGGGTTTGTGGTGTGATGCGTTTTATTTTTTTTAAGGATGTAAACGCCACCATGGCTGCTGGGCAGAAACATTACTTTCTTGTTTTGTCTCCAGGCTCATGTTTTTTTGCTTGGTTCGTGAAAGAGACAGAACAAAACCAAAAACTGAACAAAACAACAACAGGTCATTATTCATCCCACAGCTTACTGATTCCTGGAAGGAAATACAAAGTGAGTTAAAATGTGCCAGTCAACGAGAAAAAAAAGTTGTTGAATCGATTGTAGTTTTTTTTATTTATATATCAAGGTCAAGTACAGACAGAACGGAAGAAAAACTCGAGGGTTAGTTTTAATTTGCGAAACTGTTTTTGTTGAAGTTCTATTTACTCAAACGTCAACTTCAAAAGGTTGACTTGTTTAGAACACACTTGTTCAGGTGTAAAAAATAGAGCAAATGATTCCAACACGGCTTTTCTGTAAATATTAACTCTATTTATAAAGAAATGTTAGCATGTGCTTTACGTCGTGTGTGACGTCTCTGTTGTTGTTGTTGTCAGTTTTCATGTAAAATAATATTTAACTTCAAGATGCTGAACCTGATTTTTAAGTGGAATGGAAAATGCATTTGTTTTATTTTGAAAGCCAAAGTCTTTTTTTCTGTCACTTCTTCAAAGACTTTTATTTTGACAAACACCTTGGAGTAGTTGGAAACAAATCTCATAAACTTTCAACAGAAAACATCTGTTTAAATAATAATCAATAAAATTCAAATACTGAATGGTTGCAAATTAACCACGGCCTGCTCCGGGTCCAGGACCCTGTGATTGGGAACCTATGCTTTATTGACTGCGTTTTTGACACTTTAATTCCACATTGGTCATATTACTAGTGTCTTGACAGTTTAGTCAATAATCATCCAAACACATTTTTCGTTTTTTTTACCTTTCACTCAGATCTGCTGCGAAGGTCTTCTTGAAATTCTTTATTGTCATTTCCGACCCAGTTCCTGACACTTCCTGGTCTATATATTCTGCTCCAGTCTCACCTCAGGTGCTTTGCTTCTGCCACGAAATCCTAAACTTCCAGGTTCTTATATGATGGCCCTCTCTGAGACATAAACCTCAGTTTCAACTTGAGTCCGCAGATTTAGGGCATTACTTCTGTAACACACATCATTGGTTTGTGCAATGGCTCAGGAAATGGGCCAGCTCCTTAGAGAGCTAATATTTTGACACTGGTATTTTGGGACTTTTGTGATATGATTTTATATGAGGAGTAAAATGATGTACTTCATGAATAAAGTTAGTCAGTTTAGGAATTACGTAGGAGAAAAGTCAGGTCTATCTGTGACATAGGTCCATACGTCCTTCGTCATACATTTCTGCGACTCCACGCCGGTCTGACAGATGAGAAGCTACTTGTGAAATCCCCATATTTCCCCACTCTCTTTCTTACTACTTTTATTCACAATAAATAAGCCTCAAAGTACAAGAACCGGTGGAGAACAGCTTTTTTCTTTTATTATTATTCAATTGAAAATGACTCGCATCTCTCCAAAACCTTGTTTTTTAGCTGCGGTATCTGCTGATAAATACTGCATCCAAGGGTGTGATGCACATTCGTGACATCCTCATTTCATATTCTCACCAGTTGGGCTTGCCTCAGATTTGAGGTGCAATATAGACCTGCCAAATCAGCGGTCGGCCCATTACTCATCCCCCTCTGCGCTGTCTCCTGGCTTGTGCTCCGGTGCTAATGCAGATTACAGGGATATATGAGGGCTATTTTGTTCGCTGCGGGGTGGAAACGATCACAGGCAACCCCATCCCTCTCTGACGCGCGGCGCTACATCTGTTCCCCCCCGTGTAAGCCTATCAGGAGATCCATCAGAGCCGGGCCCTTATCAGATCTGCGGCTGCTACATCGATTGCACATCAATTATAGATGCTATGTGTAAAAAAAAAATGGGTCGCTCCATCAACACGCTCTGGATCCTCAGAGACATTGTTTGGTTAAGTGATTAGTGGGGGTGACTTTAGATAGCCTTTGTGCGCGTGTAACAAGTATTACACAGAGGTTTTATGATAGATGAGTGTAGACACAAGGGCTTCCAGTGGAGGAGAATCATTTCTGTCTAATAATCCCTTCCCCGCCGGTCATAATACGTCTCTAACTTTGAAAGAAATAAGTTAAGAATGGGAAATTAATCACATATATCAGAGCCTCGGTGGCCTGCATTTGCGGGGGTTTGTGCACTTGTTAATCTTCATAATCGATATATCTATTTCCCCCCCTCTCTGCTCGGAGACAATTCCGGGTGATGAACGAGCCGGGCTGCATTATTCATAGCCCAAAATCACTCACAAATTAAATACATCCAACTCTGCTCCATGACAGCCAACACAGACATATTAGTGGAATTTCTATCTATTCTGTGACCAGGACACGTCCAAAAGCACATGTTTAATCTTTATGCAAGTTTCTTCTCAGGGTAAATAGACCATTCATCATATTACTGGGCTTTTACAGTGCCACTCTTTGAGTGATCTGTCTCTCAAACAGCCTCCCACCCTGGCAGCCCCATCAATCATTTTTTCTGTGAAGATGTCACCGCTCATTGTGTGGAGTGTTATCCCAAACAATTCGGGGCCTTTCAGATCAGAGATTAAGAGTTTCTTCCCCTCGCTGAGGACAGTTGGTCCTTAATGTGCATCCTTCACAGGCGGAATATGGAAATGCCACAGTTTTTATGGGTTTAATGTTCTGCTGTCAGCAGCACTTTTCAGCGCGGTGGGTGTAGAAGCAGGTGCATGAACGTCTGGGTGGGATCCCCGTCAAGTCTTTCTTCCAAAGTCATCAAGAAGTAGCTGTCGCTCAACAAGGGACGTAATTGGTTTGCGCTTAATGACTGTGCGAAGCTGCAGGTTCTGGGTGTGTGCGGAAAGCCATTATAGTGTTGTGAATCATTTCACAGTGTACAGATGACAGCAGGCAAAGAGAGGATAGAGGGCCTGGGGCCAAACACCCTTCAAATATGTCAAACTGCCCTTGAAATAACATGATGACTGAGGTAAATTCCCGCCGACCACTTAAGTTTGGCAATTTCTGAATTAAAAATGAGCAGCTTGGTATCTGTAGCTCACTGAACTCTCTTGGCTTTCGCATACAACAAAGGTCTGATAGCCGTGGACAAGCTCAGCCTCGGTAGTGGGTGCTAACTTCTCATTTGTTGTTTTTTTTGGCTAACTTCTCACATATTTGGGTTTTTTTTTTGTGGCTAACTTCATAGTTGTTTGGTACCTGATCCATTTCCTATTAGCAAAAAATAAATTAAAAATAAATGCGTAGGACAATACAGTCCAATCAGCATCACTGCAATTAATGTCTGCCGACGCCTGACATTTAGATCATGTCAACTTGAGATGAGATGCAGTCACTTTTCTGGTCCCGAGGTTGACACTGAGTGTTAGTTGGTTATGAATTTTAATGTGTTGCACAGATCTGCTCTGGCCCTGCTTATAGCATGAAACAATCTCTTTAATATGTCAAAACATTCATCAACTAATTATTCTGATATATCCATAAGTCGTCATGGGTCAAATGGCAAATACTGGAATTAAAGTTCTCCAGTCAATTAGTTCTTCAGTGAAGTTTAAACAATCTTTTTAAAAACTTGCTCCAACTCAAGAAAACTTTTTTTACCTATGAGTGTGAATGGTCTCTATGTGTCGCCCTGTGACGGGCCAATAACAGCTGGGTTTGGTTCCTGCTCCCCTAAGTCCCAGTAAAGGCCAAAGCTGCAGAAAACAAATAAATAAAATGTGTTATTAACAATTCCTCTCACGCGCAGTGACCCTTGATTCAGGAGCAAAACCGACTCATTAACTACAGGAAAACATCCAGAGCTGTGTAACAAGGACGCTGCTCCTCTGCTCCTCACATATCTCACTTCCTCCCTCTCTCTTGTCTCTCCTGTGTTTGTCGCAGGATCTATCAGGAGTCGATGAAGAGGAGGAGGAGACCTGTCACAGCCGGAGCCTGAAACAGTCAGCGTCCACTCCGCTTCACCTGTCACACGGATTTGTTGTAGATAACACGGGGCGCGGATCAAAGGCATGAACTCACCTCAACATCACACATTGGTGCCTTTAAACTGAATAACTTCCTTTTTAAACTAATCCCTTGCCGTTCTGACTGACTGAGGCGAAAGCAGTAGTAAAAAGTAGTAGTAAAATGGAAAAACAGAATAATAAAAGTAATTTATTTTGGCTGCTTTCATTAAAAAAAACAGTGCCTTACGTTCATAAAAGTTTTTTTAAATCGTATTTATTATTTAATTCTTTAACTATCTATGCAAAACCTTAACAGGCAAACAGAGGAGTAATTACAGCTGCGAAATAAAAGTAGTTATTGCCAAAAAAAAAAAAAAAAAGTCCAAATTTGTCCTTTAAAAGTAGCGGCAGTGACATGTACATCCAGCGCAGCAGAGTCTCGGAGCGACACTTAAATCACACACTAAATAACTGCTACTTCAAACTACTTTGGTTTTTATTTCCCTGCTAAAAAGTAGCAACAAATCCTACAGATTGGGAGAATCCACTCAGTTACACCGAATACTTTATTAGTATTTGTAGGTTGGCATCTGAGCTGCACCGAAGTGCCCGTTTGAGTGATGTGGAGTGTGTGTGCACTGTACATAACGACCTGTTTTATCACTGCTGGACCTGAGAGTATGGAAACTCAGCCTTTTTTCAGTCTAATTAGCAGAATTAAATGTAATCTGTTACCGGGCCAGGGGCTCGCGCCTCCTCTCACGAGGCCTGACAGGATTTGCGAGGAGCTGCAGGTCCGTTTTTCAGCGTGTCAGTTCCCACCACTGCCTCCCTTTTTCCTCCTCCTCACCCTTCCCCCACCCTCCCTGCCACCTTCAGTGCGCCGCAGTTGCATTATTAAAGTTGTATAGGATCATTAGCATACAAAGCAGGAAACCTAGCGTGGTGGAGTCATACATATTTATCTGGAGGTGCCGTGGATACACCCATACTGTAACCTCCTTCACGTACATGCCTCGGCGCCTCTCCTCCCGTGGGAGCGCAGCACTTCACGGGGACTATGAAGTGGAAATTAGCAGGAGCACGTCCGGCTATAAGTGATAGGTATTTATTTGCATGACATCAGAGGAAACACGCGCTCTGATCTGCTTTAAGACCGGGGTGACGCAACGAGGTGTGAGACGAGAAAAAGAAAAAAAAGGAAATGAGCGGATCTGGAAACAGAGCAGATGGAGTTTGGTGAAGTTCATCAGAGCAGCTCTGTTTCAAGCATATCAAATATAGTTCACACACCGACGACTTCCTCGCTGTTATTGCCAGTCATACATATTCATCTGCTGCACAGAGGCTCATCATCAAACAGAGAGTTAGTCAAACAGAGAGCAGGCTTCTGTTAGCACTGGTGTCACCTGTGGGGTAACTTCTGCGCCTTCCATGATTGTGAAATCAAGCTCCTTTTTTCTCTCTTGTTCCCTCCATACATCACTGTCCTCCCTGCTTTTCCTCCTGACTAACTCAACTCGTTAGTCTGGCGACGTGGGCTCCTCTGTTGACTTTTCTCCCTCCTCTCCACCTCCTCTTTCTCCTTCCTCCTGTGAGATTGCTGTTGTGTCTTATGGCTTTTTATTCCTACGTGATGGTAGATGGGTTCATGTAGGAGTAGAAGCCACTAAACACACGGTGAGTGCTCGGCATAGGCAGAGACCTCCCTGCGGGCGTGTACGTCGACGTCTCGGCCTGGTAATTAAGAAGGCGCTAAGAGGGAACCTGTGGTTCTGCAGCAAGGTCACTGACTCTGCTGTATTCTGAAAAGGGTTGCAGAAAAAACAGCGCTTCATTCAACAAAATGCACACAAACAGCCAGACTGAGTCTTTGGTTGTGAACAGACCTACTTTTCACCACCTGCATGCAGGTTGCACGTGCCCTGGATTTCAAGCTCATTCTTATGTTCCTCTGCCTCGAGGTCAGCGAACAAAACTGGAGCTGGAAAGTTCTCAAAATAAAGTTGAGGGAGAAAAGATGCCAGATTGAGAAGAGGTAGGTCAAAGTGTTCACTGAAGAAAAAAAACTGTACAGAATAAGGAGACTTCTTTTGTAAATTATTGATATTATAATACTTCTCAACCAATGCAACCCAGATATTTTGTAAAATGACAAATGTATGTGTTGTGTATTTTTCAGTTTCTTGTTTTTTTGGAAAATAATCAAAATCTTATCAAGGACCACATTCTTGGGTACTAGACAATGTTCCCCATAAAGAACAAAGTAATTCGAAAGACTTGTAAGACTGAGTAATGTCTGATGTTCTACTGTAGTATCATCCATCTACAAGTACAGACTTCAAAGTATCATAACAGGTGTTCGTCTCCTGGAGTAATAAAGTGAGTCATACCCAGTGGTGTTCGGTTGGGAAACAGTCCTGCTGCATTATGTTTGTAACAATATCTTGAGCATCAAAATAACCTTCTGTGTAATTTTTAACTCCTAGGACTCAGCGTGACTAAGTGGATCTTTTGATTGTTTATCTAATGACTGTTTGGACATAAAGATTACATACTGGTACATTTACAATTGGAAAAGACGAGGGGGGGCACACAGTGGAATAGTTGTTTTTGCTGTTTTCTTATTCTGAAAGTCACTACTTCGATTCTTGGTGTTAATTGATGGACTTTCTCCAACAATCCAAAAACAGGATATTCACTCTAAATTGGCCACTGGTGTGAATACAAACGTAAATGACAGTGTGAATAGTTGTTTTTCCCAGCCCTGACCTGATAACTGCTGTGATGTACTCCCACTTTCCTCCACGACCCTGAAAAAAGGGATTGAATGTCAGGACATAAATTATTAATTCATTATTGAACACAAGGGGGGAGAAAAAACCTGATAAATGTTGTTTAGATTTGTGTGACATCTGTGGAGATGCACGTGTAACAGCCCCAGTGGCGTGTGACAGATTCCATCCCACTTCACCCAATGTCTGTTGAGATACTCTCGTCTGGACTGAACTCAACTCCCCAAAGCTGACTGTGCTGCCAGCCTGTTAAAAAATTTAAAATGTCTCCGTCTGAGATGCATGCTTCTCCCTCGACAGTGTTGAATCGCACTTTCCTCTTTGCTCAGCATTTCAGATTTTGTGAAAAATTCACACATACGCCAGGGTTTTGAACATTTATTTTACATATGCTCTTTGTAGGACTTCCCTCCTCCTTTAAATCTCTCAGCATCAGCCGGAGAGAGCGGTAACTCGGCTCAGTGCGAGCCATTTAAATTCACGTCCACCCACAAATGAGATTCAAGACATTTTAGCCGCCTGAAAATGGCTAATAATGGTATTTATCAGCGCGGGCTCTCTGCCAGGGCTGAACTTACTGTCAGCCAATTAGGCAGGAAATTCAAATTAGCCAGTTACTGTTTGGGTCCGAATGGGTGCTGTGGGGTTTGGCTCTAAATGTCAACCTTGTGTTTGTATTTGCCCTGAAATAATCCGCTCTTTCTCCTCTCTGTCTTTTTCCTCCTGAGCAGAATTTAAATAAAGCTTAAATGGTTCGTCGTCAGGCAGGGAACTCGAGGGAACGGTAATCTCTGGATATGAGGGGAATTTGACACACACTTGCCATTGTGTGACATTACCTTTGTCGCAATACGAGGTGGATAATTATTCCAGATGAAACTGCAGTGGATAATGTCTGCCGAGGTTTTAATGATTTATTCAGCACCGTAAGCTGTTATGATCTCACATTCAGTGGGTGGGATGGAAAGTTTCCTTTGCTTGCATTATCAGGGTTTAATTTATTTTTCAGGTTCCCACTCCTACATAGGCGATTTTATGACTTCTATAAGGAGACAAGACGATGTCTGAGAGAATAGCAAAGCAGAGGAGACACATTAGAATAAGGCAGAGAGACACACACACACACACAGAGAGAGAGAGAGAGAGAGCGTTCGTTCCCAGACCAGCAGGGGTTCATGGGAATCTAAAGGTGCAAATCAAACGTTAGGAATCTACGGGAACCAGCGTGCATTATTTAAAATGGTGCTGGCACATGAAGGGCAGGCAGTTTGAATAGATTGCTGCCGTTCTCTGTTTTTGCCGCAGGCTGTGTACGCCTTTCCCTGTTATGATCTGACTGTGCAGTAAACCTCACATTCCCAAAATGTCAAAGTGTTGAGTGAAAGGAGACGAAACAGCCCCATTTTTTATTGTGAAAGCTGTGTTGTTGTTGTTTTTTTTTGGCTTCCATCAGTACTGCAGTTGTGTTTGAACTACACAAGGTCACAACATTCCTCAATTCTTCTGAAATGAAAAAGCCTTCCCACTTGACTAATGGGATTTTCTCTTGACAGCTGCGTTAATGCGGCGTGTTTGTGTACAGTAGGTTTGCGGTGTGGATATTGTGTTACTGTATTCAACCTCCCCTCAGGACACACTTTGATTTTTTTTTTTCTCTCCTTGTAATAAATAATGCCCTTTGGTGTTGCCTGCTTCTTCTGTGGTAACATTAGTGCTGCTCAATAAATTGTGAATCACGCCTGTTCCACCTGCTGCATTTCCCTGGTTTCATTTACTCGTCAAACTGTTGTTGTTATTCAAAAGGCCACACCTCAAATGCACACACACACACACACACACACACACACATCTCCAGTTGCCAGCCATGTTCTGTTTTTTTTTTTCTTCGTGCAAATCAACCTGTTTAACTTGAGCCTCAGTGGATTTCCCACAAATTCAAGGTAAAATCCACACGTGTGGCGACGTCTGTGAACGCTGTGTCTCACACGCACATTGTTTGAGCTGGAATAAAGCTGTGAAATGACATAAAATATTACATTTCTTTGAACCTGTAGTGCAGCATCAGTGGATGTTAGTTTTATTTGTCAGAGCTGTTATTGCTCGCAGTGTTTGGTTCGTGTTTAAATCTGCCATAAACCACTGAATTACAGTATAAACCAGACAGATACGCTGCTGAGTCCACAAGAACAAAGATCTCATCCTCCCTGCACCGAGTTCCCATACAGCAGGCGGCTGAAGGATTATTTAGGGGGTAACACTGATGCAGAGGATGTGTTGCAGAGGCACAGCGTGAGACTTTCACTTTCTTTGCTCGGAGATTTTGGGCAGTAAAGCTCGCCTACACACGCCAGCTGGCTGTTGTCTGGGGGAATCGCCTCATCCATCTTCTTTTTTTTTTTCCTTTTTTTCCTGTCCTGATGAAATCAGAGGAAATTCACGAGCAGCCCACAGGCAGACCACACGTCTTTTTTTTTTCCTCCTTCCGCTCTTACTTCTCTACTCAATAATTCTCAGTGATAGACCTCTCCTTTGAGCATCGCCAGCACTCTTCAGTCCAATTAGTGAAAAGCAAAGAGGCCCCTTGTTTGTCGGCATGCAAGCAGTAATTGGATAATCCCTGAAATTTGAGCGAGTGCACAAAAGGGAGTCGGTAATTAAACCGGAAAGTCTGTCAAATATTGACACAGATGAGTCCTGCAAGTATAGATACAGAGGATAAATCAACAATATTGCACAGGCTTGTTTTTTAATCTTATGTACGTAGGTGTAGAGCACAATATGACATATTTGCCAAGAGGCTTAGCCTTGAGTGTGGGAGATTATTAAAAGGTAAATCCAAGCTAATATTAACGGCGATATTGGCTCCATAAAGCCCTTTGTTTAGAAACCGTCTAATCCACGTTTACTGTGCTGCCTCATATTTACGTTCATCCCCCTGCAGCGCCTCAGTGGATTTAGACCATGAAGTGAGAGAGGGCGGATCACTGCAGTTCTCAGGCAAACACACATACACACACACAGTGCGAACGTGTGGTGTTTTATTAAAAAATGTGTTGCTGGAACTGTCAGTATCTGCGCATGAGCAAATTGATTCTGAATATTAGAAAATATGATATTACAGTATGACAACACATGACACCCAGCGCCTCGTCATCGAGTTACAAGAGACAGAAATCTGTCAAACCCCTTAAGGACGTGACACGGCCACATGTGGAGTGGAGTCGTGTTGCTATGTAAGGTTTATAGTCTTTGTCTTCCTAGCTGAAGATAAAGACATTTAAGATGCCTTCCACGAGTCTACCTGACAGTTTCTTTCTTCTTTTTTTTTCTTCTTCTTAGACCCACGGACATCCCGTTGAGACAGCAGTTTGCTGAGTTCCACACATTTCTCCTCAACATCTCACTAAAACCCCATCAGAACAAGACGTTTCCCTTCACAGTCCACTTAATGAGAGTGTAGCGTCAGCATTCTGGTGGCAATCACAGTGCTTAGGACTCTTTAATGATATGTTAATGGCTTGGCTGCATTACCCCTCAGCTGCCCAAACAACATTAAATACCCCGCGGCTGATTAATCGGCATCCTCGAAAATACCCAATTAGATGGAAAATGTTTGAATTCCGCTCTGCCAACAAACAGCACAGGCTTAAAGAAACGCCGCGAGATATTGTCCAGAAACAGAGTAAATAGAGATGATGGCTGGAGTTGATCTTTTTATCCCTTAAATGAAAAATAGATGGTTTAGGTTTAGGTTTACTAATTGCTCTTGCAGAGAAATGTGAGGGTTTTACTTGAAAAGGAGGCTGGTAACATGACTAACATTTTTTTAGTTAAAGATTTTCTTTAAATTTGAATAACTAAGAAATGTTGCCAAAGGTTGAATGTTGCTCACAAAGTTAAACAAAATGTACGAGACAGGAAAAGGAAGAAAAGGGAAGAATCAACAAGGTCAACTAATGCACCGACCGAGACTGGGGTAGAAATATATTTTTAATTTAACTGAAAGAAACAAGGTCATTGAGCTTTAATGTGTTCTGAAGGTAATTGAAAGGGCAGGAAGCAGCATGGGAGAAAGCTACTTTATCAAATTATGAGAAAACCTCAGAAACACAAAGGCAACCTTCAGGAGAAATGGGAGCTGAAGCAGTGATGGTTTAATAACATTTAATAAAAAGTAGAAATAAACTACACAGATATGACGGGAGATTAAATGGACCAATGTTTGTTCATGCTTATGCTACTGTAGGTCAAGAAATCCAGGTTCCAGCATATAGCGAGATGTGTCTACCTATGGCTGATGGATGGATGGAGTTAGAGTTTGGATATAGTACTGCAGAGAAGTTAGCAAAACTTTGCTCGAGGGCACTGTGTCAAAACTCACAGCTGCCACTGAACACCGAGGTCCTAAGGGTCAAACTTGAGACCTTTGCGGTTGCATAACACTCTGTCCGAGCAGCAGGCCTCCGCCCACTCACAACTGTTGTCTGCCTCAAAGTCAGAGGTTCAGAAGGAGCAGCATAAAAATAACTATGTACAACAGCTCACAATAAAAGTGTGTACAACATGTTCCCATAATAATGTTGAAGTAAGGAGCAGAACGCTTTGTGCTCCGCAGCTCTGCAAACACGCCACCCACGGCAAAACGGCCCATCTTAATTCAGATCTAAATATTGTGTTTATCACCCACGGCAAAACGGCCCATCTTAATCGATTCAGGTCTAAATATTTTGTTTACTATTTCATGTCTTTTCAAATGTATTTAATACAAATACCCACACTGCAAACAAGGAATTACAAGAAACCTTTTTAAAAAGTTTTGAATATCATTTTGTTTTAAGCAAGTATACAGTACAAAACAATAAATAAATAAACCACACTGCAAACAAGGAATTACAAGAACCCTTTTTAAAAAGTTTTGAATCGAGAATATCATTTTGTTTTAAGCAAGTATGCAGTACAAAACAATAAATAAATAACTAAAAGAAACGTTTTCTTAAGGAGATATTTCAGGTAATTTAAGCTTCAATCAACATATATCTGAATACAGGCGTTTCAACATTATTCTATAAAACCAAGTGGAACAAGACAGATAGATAGATAACTTTATTCATCCACAGAGGGAAATTAAGTTGTCATAGCAGTCCGGTATACTTAAATACAATAAAATACAACAGTATAAAACACTAATGTAGACTGAAAATAGAAATTAAGTACCATATAACAGGATACTTCAAAGAACCACAAGATGTAGGTAAGGTAGGGTGCAGCAGCCAGATTGTGGTAATAATACAGATATTAAGAGTTTTATGTTACTGTTAATAATTATAGTGTGTATATACAATATATAGTAACAGTAACAATAAAATGTAATAATTATAATATTAATTTAAAAATAAACGAAAATGTTTTTAAGACTAAGACACTTTTTTAAAGAATTGTTATCAAGAAAAGAGTCCTGTACCATTAATATGACAGTCCCCGTTTTTGGTACTAACCTGTCCCGGGTTAAAACTGTCGCCGAAAATTTTGACACCGAATGAGGGGGAGATGCGCGCAGATTAGACAACATTTATTATGATTGCCAGTAAACGCAACGCCAGAGAAGACGTTGTATGACGTACGGAAGCTTGACCAGACACAGTCAACAACAACGACTTAAAGGCGGGAAAATGAGAGCGCTGTTGGGCACCAGCTATTGTGATAAACGGTATGTTGTGTACGAATTTATTTTGCGTGAACTAGCAGTAGGCGTGGCTGTGTGTTTG